TTTAAACTAGTGTCAATATTATCGCTATTTTTACGAGACGCGTTTTAAGCCAGAGCAAACCCCGCCTTAAACCCCCTTTTTCCAATACACGTCTTGCAGTAGTTTGCTGTGGTGCCTGCATCAAATTATAGGAGTCAAAAGACTGTACCAATCAGACTCTGGTTCCCTTTCCTCATCTGCTGCTTGATGTATCACCAATTTTGCAGAGGTGGCGACAAAAGGCAACAGAAATAATAAAAAAAGGTTAGATGTATTGCTGGTCCTGCTGAAATCCGACCAGTATGTTGCCCATTAACCACCCCCAACGCCATTTGACTAAAGTAGATTTTTTTAAATCGACTTTTGTCAAAGAAACCGGGGCTAAAAGTCTTGGCTTAACAGGGACTGCAACCATTCAGCTGCAGTCGCCATCCATGTATTCGACCAGCAACAAGGTGTCGGAGTACAATAGCCGATAGGTAGGTACTATAGGTAGGAATGCCAGAGTTTTGTCTCGTTCAGTCCATAAGGCTCAGCAAGAAAAAATGTATGGCCAGCCTAAGGCAGAGAATACCTGCGGCACCGCATAGTGAACTGTGTGATAACTTGCAATGCACAACTGGTGGTATGTTGGGGTTTAAATGGCATCCCAATGCCCCTTGCACATGTGTTTCAGCACTCTGCAACACTTCCTTGTTTATAAAACTTCGCTATCTGCTGGGTGGATGCCCTCTTCACATAGCTCTAGTGCCCCTAGACGGCGCTGAGGAGTATAGGAATTTCCTGAGCTTCCCCCCAGCATCATCTAGGGCAGTGGTTCTCAACCTGGGTAACCTCGGGACCCACATTTGTCCTTGGTCATTAAGTCGCGAACCAAGTTGCACTGCAATGTTCCATGTCGCGGTACTGCGCTTTCCGTTGCAGGCAATCGAACTGTTGGGGGAAGTGGGTTTGGTTTGCCATTAACCTCTTGCCGTCCGCCCGTAGTAAAAAAACGGACGGACGGCACTGCTGCATCTGCGGGTTGCCGTCTCCAGACGGCAATTTTAGGTGATGGTGCCCCATCCATATGTGTATTGCTTCTAAAGCTCTCGTGCGTGCCCTGTAGAGGTGCCGGGAGCCACAATGTGATGAGCTCTAAGCAATGCACTTATGAATAGAGCTCCCTTGCGGCCATAGCCCCACCTCACCCCATCTCAAGTCGACACTCGGCACCGGGCATCATATTTTTAAATGGCTGCTCGGTGCGAGATCTGACTGTGCTTCTCTAGAGGGAGGCTCACCTAGAAAAGTGGAAGGCATGTGGCGACCCACTGGACATGGGGTCGCGACCCACTTTTGGGTCACGACCCACCAGTTGAGAACCAAGGATCTAGGGGCAATACTGCTGTGCACACGGCATCTGCTGGGCAATAGATTAGACATGCATTCAATAGAAAGGATCCATCTGTGCTTTTTAGGGCTCTGTGTTGGGGAGGAAAAAAGTTCCTCTCTTGGTTTTGTTTTTTGTTTTTCATTTTAAATATTCAAAATAAAATAATGAAAATTCCAAAAACAGACAGATGTGAAGGGGCCAACATGTTATACTTGGGTGCCACCCCTTTTTGGTTGTCATTTTTGTAAGTCTAGTTGATGGGTTACTACTCTTGGGCTGTAGCGCCCAACAGATCTACTGTACTATCCAGTGTGCTGGCGCCTGCCAAAAATTGGGAGAATTGGCTTTGGTTGGAACAGCCCCCTTTTTTTAAACTGACACTGGACGAGCAAAGCGCTGAACAAGATGGAATTTAACTCGTGGTTTTTTTAAATTATTATCATTGTCATTATTTTGCAGGTTGTCCATGGTGGACGAGTCATGCGGCTCCTTCCTGTCAGACATCAGTTATGACCAGACGGAAGACGACCTGGTGAGACCGCGTCCAATGCCGTCGTTCTAGGAAAAACGCGATGGGCGTAGATTTGTTCTACAAACAATCCCAAGATTTTCTTTGCCCTACAAGGTCACCCCTCCGCCTCTGTATGTTTAGGGTGTCTGCTTCGAGACCCTTGTAAATCTCTGTTTTGTTTCTCACTTCCCCAACGCCGTAACCTTGCTCTCCTCACTCTTCTGACAACTGGTTTATATTTATTAATAAAATAAAACCACAAAATCTCATTCCATCCAATTTAAATGCTAATTTCTGTCCCTTTCGGTGTAACCGGGAGTCTTTCGCTGCGCGTTCAGCCGAGAAAGGTCCCTGTGGGGAGCCTCCCCCCCCTCCACGCTGTTTAGCTCTCCCTCCCCGCTCGCACACTGTGCTCCTGAGAATACATCCTGTTTGTAATTTGCTTTCCTTAATGCTTTTGAACCGTCCAGAGCTGCCTGCGGTGTCTCCCAAAGGTAGCATTAATATTTAGCTCGCGCTGCGGCTCGGCAGGCTCAGACGCAACGTTTTTATAGGGCCAGGTCACCTATCCGGGTATCTACACATCTATCTGGAGTGAAGCCTCCATCCACCTGATTAGGTATCTTGTATAGACTAGTGCTCTTGCAACATAGCTTTCCCTTACCTAATGAGTTTCCAATCTTTCCTTAAATAATTTTGGGATTATTTCGTAGTGCAGATTGATGTAACTTGAAGCAGCCAATCAGCTTTGAGGTTCTCTTGGTAGGTGACAAAAAAATGGAAGCTCCTTGCCATGGGTTACTGCACCTTACGCAAAGCTTTAGGCGTTGAACTATTATGTATACTAGATGTGCTATTCCTCCCTGTTGCGCCTATGGGAACAAGAAGCTCCCTACGGGAAGTCTTCCTGATCGGAGCACAGGCAGCAATAAAATCCTAACACAGATTCTACCGGTGATGAGGGAACTGGCCTTGTTTTGGTTTGTTTGGATGTTTGCCAAACTCGCCTAGAAATCCAGGTTTGGCCAGCGTCCAAGCAAACTGAACCCAGGGCCACCCGTGTCCTAGCAACCAATGATGCTGTGCAACCCACACAGCGTCATTGGTTGATAGGATGCTAGCGGCTGGGTGCAATATACAAAATCAATGGCACTATGGGGCTGCCAGCATTGGAATGATGCTGTAAGGCCCACACAGCAGTGGGAAAGCTAGGCATTCTGTCACCTGGGGCAAAGGCTCAGAGTTGCTCCCCCTCCAAGGGAAAAGTTCTCCATCCACACAGCCAGTTGCACCCTCCTAAAGTGGCACCTGGGGCAAATCAACCCCCCCCCCCCCCCCAGCCTGCGCCCCGCCCCACCACTAAATTGTGT